TATGATTAGGCCATGGTGTTTGGTCCTAACCTTGTGTTCCTAATTCCCTAATTTGATCATTTGTTGTCTAACCTGAAATTAAGCATTAGGAACCCATTAAGCATAGAAGAACATTTTAAACAACCAAGCATGTATCTAATCCCTGTGATCAATCATTCAAACTAGCATATTAACTTGTAAGCATAATGAATAAGAACAAAAATCATAATTGAAACTTGTAAACTAATCAAACTTGAAACTAAAGAAAAGAATTTACATAATGAAAAATAAATTACAACTAAGAAGCAAAAGGAAAGCTAGAATTGAGAACTAGAAAGCAAAATTAAGAGAATTTGAGGGAGAGAAGGGGAGGGAGCTCTAGAGAAGTGTTTGAGAGCTCCCCCCCTTGGGGTGTTTTTACAAGCTTGGGAAACCTCACTATATATAGGCCTAAGGAAGCTGAAAGTCTGAATTAAGTATGGCTAATGCATACAACACTTTGTTTTATAAAATCTGAAATGGTTGATGCACTTGTATTAGAAAATCTAAATTGGGTGATGCACTTGTATTAGAAAATCTTGAATTGGTTGATGCACTTCACCACTAAATCCCACCAGCAGCCCTAGCTCATCTTCATGTCACCATGACCAAGCTTCTAACCAGAAATAATAGCTCATCCTGAGGTCAGGATGACCAGCAACTTCAAGGGCTTACGAATTGGGCTTTCCTTAAGCAAATTAAGACTTTAAGCACTCAAACTTTAAGTTCAGAATGTCTTCTTTCCAGCCATATATCATTTGGGCCAATCCAAGGTCGGAGGAGGAAGTTAAGGCCAAAACAAATTGCTAACTCATTTTGCGCGCTGATAAAATCCATCCTGAGCATGGCTCTGTGTTTGCTAGGTAACAGACTCCACAATTATCCAATGGGGCTGAATTTCGGATATGTTATAGTATACACCCATTGGAACAACTTTCATGAAGAATGTGGCCTCATCCGAGCTATGTAGGTTGCTGAAACAAAGCTTGCAATATGACCTACGAAACTGGGCTGGCAGGGGACTGTAGCCAAAATTGAGTTTGTCTTTAAGCTCTTCATCCATTCATCCAAATTAGGCCCTAACATGCATGGATTGCATCATTTACTATCCAAAGCCCTCGTTATTACCTAAAGCTCAATGAACTGAAAGATAAACACAAAAAGGATTAAAAGCACAAGTTTAACTCAAAAAAACATAACCAAATCATAAGCTAGAAGGGTACAAAATGATATGTAAATATGCACCGATCAGTTTTTCAACCCACAAAGGAGTATCCCCTAGTTGCCTTGAAACAGTGGTTATTCATAAATAATGCCTCATGAGTTCGGGGAGGCCTAAATTGTGTGGTGCGAGGAATGCGGCTCAGGCTGACTAATGGTCCCCTGAGGCCTGCAAGGATTGCGGCTCGGGTTGACTTGGTGTCTTCGAAGCCTGCGAGGAATGCGGCTCGGTTAACTTTGTGTTTCCTAGGCCTGCGAGGATGGAATTGACGGGATACTTGGAATTGACAGAATAATATTGGAATTGACGAACTACTTCTAGAATTGACGGTACTAACGGAATTGACGGATCAGGAATGGGGGTACGCCTGGAGAGAATTTAAGTTTCGAGATGTTTTTAAATTAAAATTGAGGATTTTATTTTGGTATTTTATGGGCAAAGGTTTAAATATTTATTATCTTGGTATTATAAGACAAGGAATGAATGTTTACAAGTTTAAGGGTTTTATAAGTTCATTATTATTTTCTTAAGCAATGAGGTTGTTTTATTGGCAGAAGTCAAACTGGTAGAAAATTTGGTTTCTAGTTAGAAGGGTATTTTGGTCATTTGTGCCCGGCACCTGCCGGGTGTCGAACACGCACAGGGTTCAGCTCAGATTCTAAAGTGGAATTTGGGTCGGATCCTGTCAGAAAACCTTTTTCCATTTTTTCCAAAGCTTGGTATAAATCTAACTCTTCCAAAACTAATATTACCTCTGGCATAATTTTCAATATTAGTTTTGATTGAGATGCATTCAAATCTTCAATAATAATCTCCATGCTTACCACCATGTTTCTTCATGAGCTGCCGAACAAAAATCCAACAAACCACTAAATAAATCAAAGAGAACCTACATCATATTTGACCAAAAAGATTAATTTAAAATCCACCTATAAAAAGAGCAATTCCAGTCCAGCATCTATAAATGAAAATTTTAAAGTTCCCTTGTATCCTAAATCACAGGACACGGTGAAATTAAATTGCCTGGGGGGAAAGACTCCAGCAATTACTTTGTGAACGCTTGTCATCATCAGCAACACGGAAAACTGACCAATTTTCTATTGCAGAGTTCCGTTTAAGCTCATCTTTTTCAAACTGGCTGCACAAGATATCAGTGAGTGTCTGCACTAGACAGAAAAATGAAACAGATCTGCCACACAGATCGAAACCTCTATTATGCTCTATCATCGAAACCAGTACACACACATGAGCCTGGGAATTCTCAAAGTCAAATAAGCATAAAACATCAAAACCAAAAGACAAATATGCAGAAATCTAAAAATCGAGAAAGACCCATGAATTGATGAAGAGCATACTCAGAATGTCATACAACCAGGTTTTGCAAATTTGGGAGAGAGCGAGAGAGCAGCTCTGAGAGAGCGATAGAGAAATCTGGAAGAAGTTGGCAGCGGATTTGGGGAGAGGAGGTTGAGAGTGAGAGAGACTCACTGAGAGAGGCAGAGGCGGAATGACATAAAAAATCAAAGCCCCTCAAGGAGTAGAAATGGCATAAAATGAACGAATCATTCGTTGACATGTGTATTAATGATTTTTTAATAATATAAATAAAAAATTTGGATAGGTCTGATTTTCACCGGTTTACAGAGAATTAAAACCGGTCCAGCCCGATTTAGAGCCGGTTCAACTGATGAGGAATCTTGAGGCGGTGTGATTAAAATCAATAAGATGAACATAATGCAGATTATTTCCTAAAAGTTGACTTTGCTTTTAGTGCTCCAGTCAGTAATCATGACAGATTTTTTAGGAATACAAGGAAAACTCCCACCAAGTTAGGGTGAAAAAATATAGTAAAACTAGCGGCACATTCATTGTCAATTTGCATATCTGCGTTCACAAAATCAATGATCTCCAGGCTTCTTAAAGTTTTCTTTTGATCTTCTGAAACCTCATAACGTTTGCAGTTTATTGGTACTAAAAACTCCAACCAGTTACATGGGGATCTCCAGGCGTATGATAGATAGTAGTCCGCACTCTCTCTCTCTCTCTCTCTCTCTCTGCTTTTAAGAAAGAGTGGTGATTTCCCCACTCCAATTTTGTCCACTTACACTCCATTTTATAACTGAAAAAGGAGTGTAAGTGGTCAAAATGGGAGTGGGGAAATCATTACCCTTAAGAAATAGACAGAGAAATAAGGAGAATAAGACACACAGAATGTTCAGCTACTTGATATAGCCTACGTCCACTTGAAAGAGAGTTGTTTGCTATCATTCATCATGAGAATTACAAGAGGTTCAATAGTACATATATATGCAAGACTTTCTTAGTATGCAGTCCCAAGAAGACTGTTCCAATTCCAATATAGTGGTATAGTTGAGAACCTTGGTCCAACGGTAATATAGGTGAGTATTAATCAGAGCAATTATTCCAACATTCCCCCTCAAGCTGGTGCGAGAATATTGATCGAACCAAGCTTGGACAAAAGACTTTCAAATTGAGCTAAGGAAAGTCCTTTAGCGAAGACATCAACCAATTGTTTGTTGCTTCGAATAAGGGCTGTGCGAATAATATTGGATTGCACCTTTTCTCGAACAAAATGACAATCTACTTCGATATGCTTCGTTCGTTCATGAAAGATAGGATTCGCAGTAATATGGATTAATTGCAGCTTGATTATCACAAAACAAGGTCATGGGTTCAGGATCTGTGAAACCCAAGTCATTCAAAAGACTGCGAAGCCAAATTAATTCGCAAGTGAGAGAAGCCATGGCTTTGTACTCGGCTTCGGCACTAGATCGAACAACAACATTTTGCTTCTTACTCTTCCAAGTAACCAGATTCCCTCCAACAAAAGTGCAATATCCAGTGGCGGACTTTCGATCAACTGTACATCCTACCCAATCGGCATATGAATACCCAATAATATTAGTGTTTCCATTCTTTTTCATTAGAATTCACGACCAGGGGAACCCTTTAAATATCGGAGAATTCTCTTGACAGCTTGCAAGTGAGTGGTTCTTGGAGCATGCATATGTTGACTGACCAGGCTAACGGCATGAGCAATATCAGGATGAGTGATGGTGAGATAGATAAGCTTGCCAACCAGCCGTTGATAGTAACCAACATTTGATAACAATTCTCCATCAAGACCAAGTTTTTTCTTGACATCTATGGGATTGGCAATAGGTTTCGTCTCCATCATTCTTGTTTCTTTAAGTAGATCAAGGACATATTTCCGTTGGTTAAGAAATAATCCTTTCCTGGACGCAGCAATTTCGATCCCCAAAAAATATTTTAAGGATCCCAAATCCTTAATGGCAAACTTCTGGTGAAGAAATAACTTCAGCTTGGTAATTTCTGCAAGATTACTTCCAGTGATAATAATGTCATCAACGTATATAAGCACTATTAGTTTGCTACCATTCTCATCCTTAACAAGTAAAGATGAATCAGCAGAACTCCGCTGAAATTTTACACTTTCAAGAACAGAACTTAATTTCGCATACCAAGCTCTTGGTGATTGCTTAAGGCCGTAGATAGCCTTGTGTAACTTGCAGACCATACCTTCTTGTTTTTCCTGAGGATGTATGGGAGGTAAGTGATCGGTGCATATTTACATATCATTTTGTACCCTTCTAGCTTATGATTTGGTTATGTTTTTGAGTTAAACTTGTGCTTTTAATCCTTTTTGTGTTTATCTTTCAGTTCATTGAGCTTTAGGTAATAATGAGGGCTTTGGATAGTAAATGATGCAATCCATGCATGTTAGGGCCTAATTTTGATGAATGGATGAAGAGCTTAAAGACAAACTCAATTTTGGCTACAGTCCCCTGCCAGCCCAGTTTCGTAGGTCATATTGCAAGCTTTGTTTCAGCAACATACACAGCTCAGACGAGGCCGCATTCTTCACGAAAGTTGTTCCAATGGGTGTGTACTATAACAT